AGTCGTGATATCTTTCTTAGGTCTTAATGCTTTTGAACTATCTTTATCTTTCTTTTTAAAAAAAATAAATTTCTTTCGCTCCTTCTTATCAATAGATTTATTGTACGATAGTTTTCCAGATTCACTTCGTTCGGATTTTTTATATACACATTTTAATTTACTTTTGTTATAAGAGCTATCTCCTATGCTTAGTTTTTTACCCCACAATTTAAACATTCCTTTCTTAACGTTATTGTCACTTTCTTCAACTGTGAGTTGATGCAACTTTAGTAGATTTTTTGTTTTCGATTCTCTAAAGGTTCTTGTTTTCGATGCATGTATTTCCAACATCCCCTTTTCTAATTTATCACTCGAGAACGGGCTGCGGATTTTCTTAGCAGCATTCTGTTTTGATTTGAGAGATGGAGGATTGGACATTATAGAAACATCTTTACAATTAGTTTCGGTACATTGACTCGACCGCTTCCATATATTTTCGATTGACTCGTTTTTGCACACGCTTCCTCGTAAAGCCTTAAATCGATGTATTAAGGAATCACTAGTAGATGGCTTAATACGCAGAGAATCACGACATTGCCCTGAAAACATTTTCCTATATTCCCTTTCTAGTATATTTTCCATTGGATCCATTGACATCTGACTGAGATTGCCAAGTCTCTGCTTATCTAAGTTGTAAACATGTTGTACTAGAGAATCGTAGGAGCTGACATCGTTCGCATTTTTATTACTCACAACTCCTGATAAATCGATAGAACATTCGCTGTCCGATTTTTCTAATTTCAGATTATGGACAGAGTCTGTATTTACTGCGAGCTCCTTAAATATTTTTATTTTTTTTGATTTTCTCAGCTCTTTAAAATTAATTTGAGTTGAAGCATTAATTAAATTGTTTTTTACATAATTATTGTGTTTGCCAATTAAATTCTTCCGCAAAATGGTACTGTTACAAGGACTTGTATAATTCGATTTAGTTTGAATAATGGGTGACAGCTTTTTGTTACACAAAACCTTTTTTAAAGTACTGCATTCACTTTTATAACTGTTTCCGGATGTTTCAAATTCGTCTTCCCTCTTGCTATAAAAATGTTGGCACTTAGCTAGAACAAAGTTTATTTTTATAAAATTTACAATAAAACCATTTCAACGGCCTTAAATGACAGTATTTTATTCCAAATATTAATTTACAATTAAGAACAACCGAATAATTATAAAATTTTAACTAATTCTTATCTATCCCAATAATAAAATTGGCTGTCTGTATTTTAAAATAAATTTCAGAATTGTAATATAACTGTTTTTATACTATATCATTCCTTACTGTTTGTTATTTTTTGTTTGCCTATCACTCAGAAAGTTAACTTAAATTATAAAACCGGTTCCATAAATTTCATTTTAAAAATAAGACTAACATTGATGTCACATGTAACTTTATAATTTAATATATGCCTATTTCGGATATAAACTAGAGTTATAAATTAAAATCACTTACGATTTTCGCACAAGGGCCCATCTATCGTTCCTACAGCCCTCTCCTCCTTAACTGGCAAATATATTCTTTTGACTTTCCGCCTGTGTAAGGTCTTTACACTTCCGACGCCTACGTGATTAAAACTTTTTGTTTGCACATGTCTCAATGGAGTAGTAGAACCGCTTGCTTCTCTGTAGTTTCCCACAGAATGGTTACAGGTGCAATTTACGTGACTCCAATTCTTAACATTATGCTGTTCAATATCTTTAAACGCACCGTGCTTATGTTTCAAAATTGTTTTGTGTCCTGTTGAATTTCTATAAACTTGATTTGGATAATAAATATTTTCTGAATTTATGTTACTGCTTATATCATCTTTTGTTGTATATAAAGGTTTTCTTGTTTTCATTTCTTCTTGTATATCATTATTCTTTTGTATGCTCTCATTATTGTAATTTTATCAACACACTAGGAGCTGTAAACAAAATATTTTACGTGGTATTAAATATTAAATTGTTTCAATCTCGATCAAATCTGTATTTATTATTCTTTAGAAATGCTACTATGCGATATGTGAAACGACTGACCTATAACTTTTCATGTATTTGAAATTAATATTTAATTCGGGTGCTTTTCACTTTCAAATTTTCTTTTTGCGTTTTCCACTGAGTTTTCTAAATTTTTATTGTCAAGTTGAATTTTCATAGATTTCACATCACATTATGGTTTATGTCACATGGACCTGTGCTTTCATTCTTTAATTTACTGCCAGAAATATAACATTAGGCAGAGAGTGGCGTTTAATTTCCGATGACAACTTTACATGTCATGTCAATTTTACCTATGACTATAAATGTCGAGTTATTTTAATAAAGATATTTCTTTTATATCTTTTCATTTTTACTTTTTATAAGTTTGGTATAATTTTTTAATGACAAAAGATCAGAAAAGGAAACATGTAGAGTTTTAACGTGAGTATTGAGTTAGAAACGAAGACAGGAACGTTTAAGATGTTGATCTTAATATAGTTACCTCATAAAATTAACAATGTTTAAACTGTGATTATTTCAGATTTTTCATGATTTCATATGATATCAAATAATTGCAAATATAAAAAAGTTCATATACAGATAACGACTTACAGCAATCCTCCTAATAAACAACAAATGGAAAGGAACATAAATCATGAGAAAGATATTGCCAAACATTGCGTCCGTCCCGATGGCAGCACCAAATTTATTTGTTCTATTTGTCTCAATACCAAACCAAAATACGACGAAGTGGTGAAACCAGAGTGTAATAGGCGAAAATCAAAATCCTGCCCTATCTGTCAAAAAGGTTTCGATATACGTTTGGCAGCCACGTCCGAAAATCAAATAATACGTGATACTTGCGAGGTAAAGGAAACATCTGCTATGATCCCACCAAATCAAGTTGCCCTTAGCACCAAATCCGTCCAAACGTCCGAAACTGATGTTAGTAAAGGATTAAATCTGTTAAATGAAGTGTTAACAGTGTTCCAAAGTAAAAAGCAGGTTTGCATAGAGAGGGAAAAATATCCAAAGACCGTAATCGTCAAAGACGCCAGTGTTGAAACGGAAAGTGTATCGAGCAAGAAGTTTATACAAACAAAATTGGGTATTAGCAAAGTATTTTTTATGTCGATAGAAGAGAACGCAGTCAGTGCAAATAATAAATTTACAGTCGTTCATTACTCTCAGCCAAGAAGAAATGCAAATTCACATCACTCTATTGACCTCATCAAACATAAGTCTTCATCAATACCCCAAATGAAATTAGAGGAGCTTAAATATTCCTTGAAAGAAAAGACCAAATCGAAAGACGCAATTGAAGAAGTAAATAGAATGTTTGCAACGGTAAGAAGGAATGCTTTCCTGGAAACATTAGATGACACGAATAGACCGTTGATAAGGAATGGACCAAGAGTGTTGCCAGTCGTTAAAGCGACGAATAAAGTTTACTACAACGACGGTGGTAATACCGTTTGTCATTTTGATGATAGCAACACCGAAAAAAAGACAACGGATGCAAGCAAATGCAAATTTTGTCAAACAAACAACTATCTTATGTCTAGCGGGGACTCTATAGCAAAGACTTTATGCTGCCAACAGAAAATTAGCGAAAAAACTACATGTATTCACGCGATACGTTGTCATAAATGTTGCCTGCATAACCATAACCTTTGTGAGCATTATTGTCAGAGGCTCATTGATAACCGATGCCAGCCTGGTCGACGCGACGATGATCATAATGAAGATAGTAGTCCAAGCTTTTGATTTCTTTGATTTTTTATTGACTTTCAAAAATAAATATATTTGTACTTTTGCTTTTCTGTTTCTTTTTCTACATAAACTATTCACTGTCACTATAAGCCCTAAAGTAATTTATTATTCTATGCATTTAATACCATTTTCACAAATAATTCTCTTTAAATTTCCCCTTCCATTTCAACTTTCTTTTTCAATCCTAATAATAGCTAAGAATGGAGGTTTTGTGATTCACAGCAATTTTCAAAAAGGTTGTCAACGCATCTACAAACCTTCGGATGTAGCAGATGTCTATGAGCGGTGTTCACTTAACATCAGGTGAACTATCTACTCGCTTGGCAACTTTTCACATAAAAAAAATATAATCGTCCATCGAGAATTAACGTCTCTTAAAAAAATATAAAAACAGTTTAAAAAAATAAAGTATATTTGTTTGCGCAAATTCAATACAAATCTTAACGAAAGTAAGTAATGAGTACATAAATTCAAAAATAATAACTCTCAGACGAGCACTTCTTTTCACTTCTGAAACAAAATAATAAAAATTAGAGTCAAAATATAACATTGCCACAGCTAATATTTTCTCTGCGTACGTCCCCAACACAGGTAAGAACAATCGGTGTCAATCCTCTACAGAACCACAACCTAAAACTTCTTATGAGAACTACATCATTCGTTTGATAATAAAACAATATTTTCATATGGTGCAAATAAAATAATTTTTCTCATTATTTTTTTCTTCACACGGTATATGTAAAATTTAGTAGTAAATTTTATTATTAAATATTATAAAGAAGAAACGTACGAAGAAAAAACACTTTTTTCTAGGATTGCGTAGAGGACAATCATGCTAACATTACTTTTTATTTATAAAAAAAGTCTGTTCTTTTTTTGTGAAAAGTTGGCAAGCGAGCAAGAACTTCACCTGATTTTCAGTGATTACCGCCGCCCATTGGCATCTGCAACACCTTAGGGATTGTAGATACTTTGCCAAGAATTATAAAAACGGGCCCCGGGTCTCGCGCCCTAGCTCTCGATACGAAACGAAAAAGTATAATACTTTCACTTCACCCGTGATAAATGCTATGCCAGCCTTGTCAAGACAAAACAGACTTGGGTAACTATTGTTGACGGTAATGTTACCATACCTTTGTTTTTGCCTCTTCAAATTGCCGCGGATAATATGATGCCCAGCGTAGTCGTATATAGTACAAGAACGAATTATTTATTTCAAACAGTGTTTAACATAAACCATACCTGGTCTCCCCATACTTGCATTTAATTCTTTCTAATTTCTCACTGTGAGGTCTCTCCCATTCGCGCGGTGTCTCTTGACTACCAAATAAGAAATAAACGTGATATAATACAGTATATGAAGTTACAAAAAAGAAACAATTCTTTAAAAAAATTCATGTATAGTGCATCATTTTTACATGTTAAATTAATTATTTTTCATTGTTTTCAAATTAAATCTCACCCCCTCATTATCAATCCCCGTATCAAAATTTTGCATCTATTATTGCTTTGTATGATAGATATTTATTAATACTTACTCTCCTAAGCCCAGGTCAAATACAGGCTCGATCGACTGTTCAGTTCTTAAACTATTTTTGGAATCGAAACCTTTCGTGAGGACCTTCTTCAAAGTATTGGACGAGTCGACAAACTTGCACATACAGTCATTAAGGCTCTGCATTTTAACCAGTAGTTCGTCTCTCTGGTTCTCTTCTCCCGGAGACTCTATCAGCTTCTCCAACTCCTTCTTAATCATCCTACAGTTGGTTTTAAACTCCGGTATGTCATTCCATTTCAGGTCCGTGTTCACTCCGGCGTGCTTAAGAATCTTTATCTTGGGTGTAACCGTTTCTACTAGGAATTCGCCCTCTTCTATGATGTCATCTGTTGGCTTATAATATGGTTGTCGAATGCCGAATTCGTCGATGATGAGGTGGTCGTCGCTTAGGCCGTCTTTTGTTTTTGCCATAACCAGCTTGAGGAGATTCTCTAAGCTAATTTTATGGTCGTTCAGGAGATGCCGATCTAAGACTGTTATGCTGCAATATAAAAAGAAAATAATACATAATGAAGGAACAACACAATAATTATCATATGAATTCGATTACATTTAGCAGTAGAAATCTAAGAGTAGGTTTTACTGTACATAATAAAAACTTTAATAGCTGTTAGTTGCTAAACTTATCAGGGATTAATTGCTGGTTTACAACAAGTCGTTGGTTTACAACAAGTTAAATGTCAAACTTGTTAAAATGTAATGAATGATTGCCTAAACTTATACGTGATTTGTCTGGTGAAACACAAAACAACGTTATTGACTAATGGGACCAACTAACCAAATCAATAATTTTAGGCAATACTAAACTGCGTTACTGATTTAAAAATTTTCGTGTGCTAGCAAACAAAATTCTGTATAAAATTAGGTTTATTTTATTATACCTTTATTGTTGATTAGAAACGGACTAGATAAAAATTGAAATAAACACTAATTTTCCTACTTTTTGTTACGAGTATTTCAGTTTCATGTAGTCGTAAGGGATTTGCATTTTTGATGCCTATATAGTTCCGAAACAATTTTAAATGTGTCTATCTACAGATAGATTCGGTTACTATCAATATATATCAAATATCTATCGCTAGTAACCGATAATCTCCATATTAAGCTCCATAAAACTTATGTCATAATTATATCTCCAGTAACCGTAGATAGAATATAGAAACTGGCTGTAAATGACTAGGCACACCTTCCAACAGTGGACGCAGATGCATGGTAGCAATAAGAATGTTGCTTAAAATGTCTCCATGGAGTTAAACAGAGGGAGCAAAGGATAGGTGCAGAAGGTATTATACAGTAACTAATATGCCACGCTTACCGATCGGCATCAAATGTGCACAAATGACAAGAGTATATTTCTCTTCGTGCGTTGCTCGAAATGATCGCAGTGTTACAACTGGATGTTGTCGATTCCAATTTTGAGATCTTAGACGTGCGGCCGCTCTCGGGCGAGAGGTTCTGTTGGAGATCCTAATTTAATTAATAACTACAATCAAGACCTTGTACTTACTACATACACAGAGCTGTAACAACCAATACGATAATCAAATAAAGCAGCAATTGCAAATGAAGATGGGTCAACCACTTACTGGCAATAACAAATGTAGAATGAATGACCATAATGGATGACCCAATGGATCGAACTACGATCTGTAAAACTAAAAGGTCACATGAATATAGAAGGTTTATGATCGTAAAGCTTTGAACCAGTGTTATAAACAAATTGGGCATTGCTGTATTCACAAGTCTGCCTATATAATCCTCGACTTCATATCGACAATTTAAATAGGAAATATCATTAGAAATTTTAAAAGCAATATTTAAAAAACCAGTGTTTAGTTTAATTTCATTTAATTAAATATGCCCGGCATCGGGATTTAAACTGGTGCCGACAAAGTTTGAGTTTGAAAGTTGAAGGTGAACCTCTATCCAATTCGCTTATATCGCTCTCTCGTTTTTTTTTTATTTTTATATATAAGCTTTTACACTTCAATCGATTGGCATTGGCTTGATTACAGCGATTGTTCGTTAAAGTTGGCTAGTGTTTCGTAAAGTGATAAGTTATTGCGCAATTTATCCTTTTAAAGAGTATGTGACAAACTTCAGCCCATGATAGACAGTTAGCGCCTTCCGATGAGTGAGTTGTGGACGATGGGTTGCCGAAATATGGAAGGCTAAGACCCTAGTATACATATGTATTTTTTCTGTTGACTACATCCCTCCAAGAAAAATTAAAAACATAATATATGAAAAGAGAAATAAAAACAACCTTTAATGTGCCAATAGCACATATAACAGGAGACAAATGGCTAACAAAACCGAGAGAAATATAATAATAATAATAATAATATACTTCATTGTACACCAAAAAAATCAAAATGAAAAAGTACAAAAAAAAAATATTTAACAAAATATTGGTCATCAAACGGCGTTATTGCTACACAGCAATTTCTTCCAGGCAACCTCAAAAATTTACCAAAAGGAATTGTTGATGGGTAGGATGTACATGAAAAAAATAATAATAATAGTAAAAAGAAAGTATCAATTAAAATAATAAGAAAAACATACTTCAAGTGAGTAATCATAGAGTTAAGGGTGAAATTAAAAGGGGTAGAGAGAGACGTTGAAAGATAGAGAGGAGCTAGACAGACAGATAATGCTCCTTAACCTGTTTTTTAAAATAGTTTAGGGTGTTCGCACGTTTTATAGCCAAAGGTAAAGAGTTCCAGAGTTTAACAGCAACAGCAGAGAAGGATTTATGGTAAAAACTAGAGGATTGCATAGGATGTTTAAGGAAAAGGTTTAAAGGAAATATATATAAGAAATAAATAAATAGAGATAGAAATATATATAATAGAAAAAAATGGAGGCCTTTATCTACCCTACAAAGGGATGCTCATCTAAATAAATTATTTATTTATATGTTATGTTAATATTAATAATTTCAATTCATACAAATAGTAATTCGAAATATAGTTATATTGAACTTGTTATGAAATATATAAATAGAAATAACAATAATACTATAATCTTAGCATGTAAACATAAAAACCGCACGAAAATGGGAATTAATAAATAAGGCTTATTATTATTATTATAAGACCCTAGCATTTTGTTATTCATGGGAAAAATTGGTAAGCCAGCGGAGGTTCACCGATTAACCGTTCATTGACATCCACGAAACCTGAGAGGTTGCAAATGTTTTGCCAAATGTTAAAAAATGCACCCGAGTCAACTCACTCACAAGTCGAAATGAAAAAAGTGTAATATTACCACTTCACAGCGATCTGGTGAGTCCGTGGTACTTCCCCTAACGAGCGTGGTCATACACGCAACAGCATTCTGCCTGTCCTACTCCGTATGTAAGTTACTACACACACCATGCACATAACACAAGAAACGCAATAGAACAGACACTTCCACTTGACTCTTAACTCCTGTGAGAACTGCTAGTATGTCAAGTGAACCATACGTATCCTATACGGAATAGTGCAAATAATTAAGGTGCATACGTTGCCATTTGAGGTGTTGGATCTGTCCCCTGTTAGCTGTGAGAACGTGGTATTCGCTCAGTCAAGCTTGGGCGGTTGCGTATTGGTCTGTTGGTCTCCTGCGAGGACGTGGCACTCTCCGAGTTAAGACAGCGAGTGTCTTTGCGGTAATAATGTTCTATTTAGTGTTCAAACCTCACCCTCTGCACGAAGGTATCGGCGCGTTCCTCGGGGTGTGCGAATAGCGTCCTGCTCCGGCAAATCCGCGTGCGCAGCTTGTCGAATAGCCTCGTCGCGGATGACGTGCGTCCGGAGACTGGTATTAAAATTAAAAATCATCATCACAGATTCCTCCCCTTCACAGCATCCCGCTTTCTTCCATTTATCTCCACCGATAGTTGTCATAGCGGCGGTATTCACTTAACATCAGGTGAACCGCCTGCTCGCTTGGCAACTTTTAACATAAAAAAAAAATATCAGGGCTGTATCTAATCTACTGGCCCAGGGCACTTTAGGATTATGGGGCCCCTTTGAATACGACTGCAACTTCGTACCACAACTTTTAACATATTCAAACAGTCAATAATTTCCGCTACATTCGTAATAGTAATCCGCATTGCGACAATCTCCTTGAAAAATACATTTCATTTCATATTTAAAACCAGTGTGGCCAATAAAAAGTTGAGCATGGTTACTACGCACCTAACAAAACACGAACCTTATGTTGTGAAGGACTCGTGCCTCTTTGAGAAATCGCTTTACTGTAGATTTTTAAAATTTTTTTATGTGAAAAGTTGACAGGCTGTTCACCTGATGTTAAGTGTTTAACGCCGCCTATGGATATCTACAATACAGGGGTTTGCAGACACTTTTCAACCCTCGAAAAATTGGACTCTGTCTACCTTCGTCACTCCACTCCTCGGGCACTTCGCGCCAGTCTTCTGTGAGGCCGTGGTACTTCCTGGCTTGTTACGAGCTTGCAGTAACAGAGGCTGGTGCGTGGCCCCTCCGCAGTACAACTACTTCATATTACTAAAGCTTAATAGCAGAGTGCGTGGCCCCTCCACAGTACAACTACATCATATTACTAAAGCTTAATAGCAGAGTGCGTGGCCCCTCCGCAGTACAACTACTTCATATTACTAAAGCTTAATAGCAGAGTGCGTGGCCCCTCCGCAGTACAACTACATCATATTACTAAAGCTTAATAGCAGAGTGCGTGGCCCCTCCGCAGTACAACTACTTCATATTACTAAAGCTTAATAGCAGAGTGCGTGGCCCCTCCGCAGTACAACTACTTCATATTACTAAAGCTTAATAGCAGAGTGCGTGGCCCCTCCGCAGTACAACTACTTCATATTACTAAAGCTTAATAGCAGAGTGCGTGGCCCCTCCGCAGTACAACTACTTCATATTACTAAAGCTTAATAACAGAGTGCGTGGCCCCTCCGCAGTACAACTACTTCATATTACTAAAGCTTAATAGCAGAGTGCGTGGCCCCTCCGCAGTACAACTACTTCATATTACTAAAGCTTAATAGCAGAGTGCGTGGCCCCTCCACAGTACAACTACATCATATTACTAAAGCTTAATAGCAGAGTGCGTGGCCCCTCCGCAGTACAACTACTTCATATTACTAAAGCTTAATAGCAGAGTGCGTGGCCCCTCCGCAGTACAACTACTTCATATTACTAAAGCTTAATAGCAGAGTGCGTGGCCCCTCCGCAGTACAACTACTTCATATTACTAAAGCTTAATAGCAGAGTGCGTGGCCCCTCCGCAGTACAACTACTTCATATTACTAAAGCTTAATAGCAGAGTGCGTGGCCCCTCCGCAGTACAACTACTTCATATTACTAAAGCTTAATAGCAGAGTGCGTGGCCCCTCCGCAGTACAACTACTTCATATTACTAAAGCTTAATAGCAGAGTGCGTGGCCCCTCCGCAGTACAACTACTTCATATTACTAAAGCTTAATAGCAGAGTGCGTGGCCCCTCCGCAGTACAACTACTTCATATTACTAAAGCTTAATAGCAGAGTGCGTGGCCCCTCCGCAGTACAACTACTTCATATTACTAAAGCTTAATAGCAGAGTGCGTGGCCCCTCCGCAGTACAACTACATCATATTACTAAAGCTTAATAGCAGAGTGCGTGGCCCCTCCGCAGTACAACTACTTCATATTACTAAAGCTTAATAGCAGAGTGCGTGGCCCCTCCGCAGTACAACTACTTCATATTACTAAAGCTTAATAGCAGAGTGCGTGGCCCCTCCGCAGTACAACTACTTCATATTACTAAAGCTTAATAGCAGAGTGCGTGGCCCCTCCGCAGTACAACTACTTCATATTACTAAAGCTTAATAGCAGAGTGCGTGGCCCCTCCGCAGTACAACTACTTCATATTACTAAAGCTTAATAGCAGAGTGCGTGGCCCCTCCGCAGTACAACTACTTCATATTACTAAAGCTTAATAGCAGAGTGCGTGGCCCCTCCGCAGTACAACTACTTCATATTACTAAAGCTTAATAGCAGAGTGCGTGGCCCCTCCGCAGTACAACTACTTCATATTACTAAAGCTTAATAGCAGAGTGCGTGGCCCCTCCGCAGTACAACTACTTCATATTACTAAAGCTTAATAGCAGAGTGCGTGGCCCCTCCGCAGTACAACTACTTCATATTACTAAAGCTTAATAGCAGAGTGCGTGGCCCCTCCGCAGTACAACTACTTCATATTACTAAAGCTTAATAGCAGAGTGCGTGGCCCCTCCGCAGTCACAACTACTTCATATTACTAAAGCTTAATAGCAGAGTGCGTGGCCCCTCCGCAGTACAACTACTTCATATTACTAAAGCTTAATAGCAGAGTGCGTGGCCCCTCCGCAGTACAACTACTTCATATTACTAAAGCTTAATAGCAGAGTGCGTGGCCCCTCCGCAGTACAACTACTTCATATTACTAAAGCTTAATAGCAGAGTGCGTGGCCCCTCCGCAGTACAACTACTTCATATTACTAAAGCTTAATAGCAGAGTGCGTGGCCCCTCCGCAGTACAACTACTTCATATTACTAAAGCTTAATAGCAGAGTGCGTGGCCCCTCCAGTACAACTACATTCATATTACTAAAGCTTAATAGCAGAGTGCGTGGCCCCTCCACAGTACAACTACATCATATTACTAAAGCTTAATAGCAGAGTGCGTGGCCCCTCCACAGTACAACTACATCATATTACTAAAGCTTAATAGCAGAGTGCGTGGCCCCTCCACAGTACAACTACATCATATTACTAAAGCTTAATAGCAGAGTGCGTGGCCCCTCCACAGTACAACTACATCATATTACTAAAGCTTAATAGCAGAGTGCGTGGCCCCTCCACAGTACAACTACTTCATATTACTAAAGCTTACGATTATAAACGTTCTTCTCGCTGCAAGCGGAAGGCGGCGGTCTCTCCTTTTTTCGGACAAACGGTATGGTGCTCGATTTAGTCTATAAGAAGAAAAAAAACCACATTGTCATTACCAATAAGTTTTCACATTTGTACACTCGTATCGGATATCGCAACAAAAAATGCAGGCGTGACCGCAGAGTTTATTCAATGGTTGATCTCTAGGCTGCTCTTGATTTGCGTCCAGGATGTTGAATCGATATTGATAACGGCGTGCAACGGTTTTTTTTTTTTGACTTATTGATGACTTGTTTTCACGCGAATATTATACATATTAAATGAAACTGTTTTACGTATTTTAACACGTATTAATATTAATTTTTTAATTCCCGATGTTTTAAACCCTTTCCAGCGTTATTGGTGACGGGATAGTCTGTCCGCGACAAAATCTGTAAAATAGTTTTTTGACTGTTCAGTGTATATGACAAGTATAAAGTTTTGGATAGTTTAATGTTTGATAGTTTTTTTACAGTGTAGTAACCTGACGTTAGACCGGGTTAACAATGAAAACATAAGAATAAAAAGAAACTGAGGTCTGGACGTCTGCCACACCTCAGTTTATCCCTTGTCCATAAATATTGCAAAGCCATAAAAACTGCAGGAATTAAAACTAAAAATGAATGCGATTAAATCCATTAAACTACTTTAATTTACAATTTTAGATCGCAGGTTTTAATTGAATAAGGAATAATTCGTTATTCAATTTTACTTTCTCCAGACGCCATTCATTAGGATTTCCTCTATGCGTAATTTAATAAATTATTACAATGAAGACCTTGACTAGTCTTACACACAGATCTGTTATAGTAGGTATGTGCAACAAGTAAAGCAAGGATTAGCAAGTGTTTTCAAAACCTTATAAGTACCTACTGACAAAAGTGGGATACTACCCAACCGATTGAACTAATATTTATTATTAGAAGTTGTTTAAGGTTATCCGTTCTTCGGGATTAGCTACTCTTGTTAAATAACTATAATTCTTGTGGTATGGATAGGGTTTCATAGATCAAACCTGAAGACGTGAGAATTTCTTGCTCCATGTCCTTGAAGGGTAATTAAAGAAGCTCTATACTTACTTTTAATTTGATGAGTGCGTCATCGTTTGCGTCGTGATGGAGTTGTCGGTGCATCGCCAAAGCGCTCTCAAACTGCGCCTTGAAGCTGCATTGCGAACAGCTGTGTGCGAAAATGAATACTATAAAATGAGATATAGTGGTTATACCCTGCCGCAAAGGAACATTAGATAAATGAAACTTTCCTGTTTTATTCGATAGGTTTCTATTAAAAGCGAGAAAGTCGCTACTCTAGAACATGCCGTTTATTTATTTATTTTTTCTTTTACTTATATTTAAACATTACCCTGACTCTAGGATAACATTTTACTGTGTTTTAAGGACGTGTTCCAAACATAAATTTCACATGGACAAACCCAGGTCCGAAACAGTTATTTGTGGGACACACAAATAGTTGTCCCGTGTAGGAATCGAACCCAGCACCCCCGGCGCCGAAGCCAATACCTTGGCAACTACACGTTCAATAAGCGCTCAAAATAAGCCTATATTCAATTAACAATTTTTGACTTTGAACTGCGCCACGGAGTCATCTAACTTTTTGTTTTAACTAGATTACATACATATATTTAAGAATATATAACATATAAAGTGTTTAATTAAAAGCTACATCTCTGTACCATAGTAAACATAGCCAAGCAGCACCTTGCTGCAGGAAGTATTATACTTTTGCATTTCGTCCGGTGAGTGATGTAGCCGGGGCCACTTTTTGAAGAGTTCGACAATCGAATCCGACAATCAAATCGACAGGTGTAGATACCAGGGTAGGGCGGTTAAGTCAGGTGAACCGCCTGCTCGTTTGCGAAATTTTCACGTAAAAATATGCGTTAAGTCGCGTATGGTCATCTTTGTCGCATAGGTTATACCGCGGTCGCAGCGACGATAGCAGCTTCCATTTTAAGGTCCACATTGAAGCTCAGAGTCGCCAGACTCGTGTAAGACCGTGGGAGCCACTAACACAATTCTCTAGCCCTGCACTTGCGTAAGGCTTATTGGTAGCATTTTTTTAAAGGCACTTATGTACTTAATGACTGTGTGTTGAGGTGACGGTGATAATCTAAAAAGTTACTCACCAATGAGTCATTACATAAAATTATAGGTTAAAAATATCAAATCAAATAGTAAATACAAATTAGTGGGTCCAATGAAACTGACGCGGCATGTTGCCGTGACAGATCTTGTAGGAAGAGGAAAAAGTTCTGGATGAGTTTTAACGTAAAAAAGTTTCATTTTAACCAAACTCATTTCAACTACCATAAGTAAGTAAACTGGCAAAACTGTATTAATATTAAAAATCTAGAACCAAAATTCATTTACTTAAAAAGTAGATATCTTGTAAAATCAATATCACACTGGTTTTAATTTTATTGCGTTTAATACAGTGATTACACTAGTATTGATTTTATCTATGAGTAATGATTTTTTTCATACCTATTATTATATTTATTTTAGAGGACTCCGTGGCGCAGTTGCCAAGGCATTGGCTTCGGCGTCGGGGGTCGTGGGTTCGATTCCCACACGGAACAACTATTTGTGTGACTCACAGATAGTTGTTTCTCCACTGGGTGTTTGTCCACGTGAAATTTATGTTTGTAGAACGTCCTTACAACACAGGATAATGTTTTCCTAAGCTGAGGCAATGTTATAAAAAAGGAGAAGAAATGTATGAAGTAGGTAGATTTTATTTACGTTATAAGTGGGCAAACAAGTAGGTGGTTCACCTGATGTTAAATAATTGCCGCTGCCCATGGAAAGCTGCAACACCCGATGGGCCCTGTTTACCTCACCAAACGCGAAAGTACAATACTCTCACTTCACGTCGGTGTTTGTGAGGCTGTGGTACCCTGCAGGAGCCTGCCCATTCCTGCAACAGCCGAACCTGCTGCATGACCCTACCACGGTGAGTTTACAGTAGGTAGCATTTATTTATGTGGACTGCATCAAAAGGTCAATTACGAGTTAGATTTCTTAATTATCAGAAGCTTTCTTCCTTGCTGCTTAAATGTCGCCTGAAAAAATTAATTCCATCTACAAAACTTATTTATATCTGGATGCGTTCTCAAAAAACGTACTGTGAGTAAGCGAGATTGCTTTGCCATATTTATTACACGTGTCCTGATAGTATGTCATCCCGGATTATATGCAGTGTGTAGTGTGTACAGTTGTGTAGTACCCAAAGAAAAAAATTTGCTTTATTTTTGTTTGCACTATGAAATTAATAGTGACCATTGACATCTTTTATATTCCCGTACTTTTAAAATTATTCACGTTTAAATTGGTGTAAAGTTTTGAATAATAACTTTTATATTACTACGGCTGTAAACCACCAAATGAAGGAAGACAATCTACCAGTGAAGCAAATATCATAATTTCAGATTCGATAATCAAACAAATTCAATAACTGTGATAACTAGTGTGAGGGCACAGTTATTGAATTTTTTTGCATCCGTCCGGGGAAGTGCCACACAGAAGATCGGGCAAGTGTTCTTCGTTTCTAAAAAAGATAAAATCTGCAAGAGATTGTTTAGTTCTTCTATCAGTTTGTTTAGCGAATGCTCACGACGGAGCGGAACACTTGGGCGCAGACAAGGCTAAATCTACAGAGTTTCTTTAGTACAATCGCATTCAATTATGTCTTTTTCTTCGTCGTCCACGACAAATAAATCCTTTGTACGCGCATTATCGCGATCGCTTAGCCACAATTACCTGTCGTATCTATCAAACATAAATTTGAAACAATAGTACGGCAATAAGGTATACATTGGATGGTAGAGGTTTGACATGTTTGTAATATTACAAAGCCTCACTAAAACTACATAATGGTGGCACATCACATGGCTATTCGAAGGTACTGGCTGTTTGGTGTCCTTATTTGGCAAAGGTTTGACGTACCTATTGACAATCCACATGTAGGTCTCTGATGCGAATCGAGAAGTTGACAAGCGTCATACAAGAATGTAAAGCGGCACATACCATTTATCGATGGCGTTCATTTGCCACATACTCGAATACGCCAAATAGCTGTGATGTGTCACGAATGAGTAGTGATTGTTTGCCAAATATGCCAAAAATGCAAAGGCGAATAAATAGTTAATGTCACCCATTAATGATAATCGCCAAACGTACTAAATAAGAGAATATTAATAGCCGCCATAATACTAAAAAGCCTCTTTTGAGCCTGGTAACATTGGTCGCGTCTCGGCAACGGCATGTCGCCCGCTCGGCCGCCACCCCACCGCACCGCCAGTTGAGAGCGGGGGGCCGGCGTGAGCGCATGCTCGGAACACAGCAGTCAGTGTCCACTTCTTACACGTTAACAAAATCAACGGGTGAGAAAGAAGGAACGAACCGATGACAACGCGCATACGTCATTAAACGAATAAATTGTAAGTTTTGCGAGTCAACAAACCGAATCGCAACTTAGAACCGGTTGCAAAACGTCCGTAGGAAGTAGGTATAGTAACAGTTATATAAAATTGTAATGCTGGGCTCTCTTTCGCAGGTACACCGAGTGAACGAGTTGCTCTTTTGTTTTTGTGATTTAAAAAAGAGAAGTTTAGTTTTTCCGAAAAGTGCCTATAAGACGTTGGTTGTTGAGTGAAATCGAGTGTACTAGGCGGATCGGTCAGTCAGGTGAGTAGGTACTTAAGTGTTTTTTTAATGCCCATTGCGCACAAAGCGCTTTCTTCAGTCTTTTTTTTAGGGTTGGATGAATTACTTGTTTACAATGGCCATAATAAGACATGTAGGTAATCTATTCATATAATATAATCGCTTTAGAAAGGTGGGTAGAAACGGATACTGGAATGGGTTTTACCTCACATTGTTTCTTGTCAAGAAAGCGATCTGCTTTGTCTGTTGTTTGATTATTATTACTGAAAGAATTTATACGCAATACCATCTGTTAAAAGGTAGATTTGTTGTGTAATATCTGACGGAAATACGTCTTACATATTTTATTGACTACTTAAATCATTAGCATTCGTAAACATTGCGCGGGTACCACGTTTTATAAAAGAACGTTATGTACGTTTATATTTTTTTAAATTCTATTACGATAGATACTTAGGTATACTTTTTTTATAAAACTAAGGAAACAAGTTTTTTTATACTTAAAAGGTACGTCTACTCTATAAAATGATCAAAACACTTAAATCAAGTAAAGTAGCAGTAATATTTTAGTATCTTTTAAAATATATTGCCTCTGGGTACTAACTATGTAACCATGACGCAATGCTGGGACCGGCTCGAGAGATAATTGTTTTTGTTGATGCCTAACAATAAGTAGGCCTCATTCAAACTTATAGTTTATCAAGACGACAGAAAATTATTGCCATTGCATTTTTTATCTCAAAACTATGTAAACGTCTATTGAATTGAATTCAAAGTTTACTTGCTTTCCATTTTTATCTTCATGATTGGTAAAAAAAAGCAGCAGTAGCGAAGAATCTTTTCCAGTTAGCATTCAAATACTTCACAATTGATTGAAACTATATTTTCATCACATACGTTCGAGAACAACATAATTGGCAGAGCAGAACACACAAGGGTTGAGTGTATTTTTTAAACCGGCGTGAAAAATCGCATTGGTCCGTTCCGAATTCTTCCATCACTTATTATTGTTTCCACATTTACTATTGTTCAAATTAATCAATATACTTAATATTTATACCTCTGCTGCATTCATCAATATAAAAACGTTGATGCACTACGACGATAAAGATGTAAAGACAGAAGTACATGAAAAGGTCGAGGAAGTCAAAATATCTTGTGTTGGACGATATTTCAAAGATCGCAATGATTGGAAAAAATACTCTTGGTTTTATGAAAAACAAGACCAGTTTTTTTTCTTTTCTTCTCTTAATAGATGTAAGGGCACTCATTTTGAACTTCTTAAGAAACTCCTGTGTGCTCTGTATTATAGTTTATAATCATCAATTAATAAAATTGAGTATCGAATCTTACTATAATATTAAAACTTACACAAAATATATGACTCGATACTGAATTTTCTTTAGTCTCAACGAAAGGTTTTCCAAAATTTTCCTTTAACTTGACATAATTTCATACTCGGCTAATTTGCTGATTTTATTTTATTTCATTCATTCTCTAATTATAAGTATACATCTTCTAAAGTAAGTTGTAAATATGTAAATGTAAACGAACGTATAATTTATTCAATGTGTATTACATATTGAGAGCAGTGACGGAATAACTATTTGCTTTTGAAAATGTTCACTGAAACAACTGTTTTAAAAAACAACTTAGCGATTCAGGAAAGTTATAATTATGGCTATGATGAGCATGTAAGAAGATATTTGCCCTCACTTGCAATATGGTCGTTTATGAAAGCAAAGGCCGCATTTGCTCAAGTTGATAACTTAAAAACCGGTCTATATTTGTTATGGTATTATGGCGGCCGTTTCCAGTTCCTCGCAGCACTTGTGTAATTCGCAAGAGATTAATGTACTTAAGCGATTTTTTTTTGCGACGATTTGCCTTTGAAAATAACTTGAGTCTCTTACTCTGCTCATTATGGGGCTGATGACATAATTTTCCTATAGCCTGATAAATTTTTGCCGCCTTTTTTATTCGTTATCGTATATAAGTTGATAGTCAACTCAATAAATATTATTTTGAATTAAATAAAATACTGGTTAACTTATAGAGCAGTAAGTTAAAGGTAAACGGAGACAGAAAGAAATAAAGAAAATAAATTCAATATCAAATAAATTTATTTATTAAATAGGCAAATGTCATTGGACTCTGTCAGAATAGCTCAGAAAACGATTTTATAATCTTCGACGGCTTAGCTTGCTGAAATTGTGCAAACGCAATTAAAAAAAATGATACGGTCTCAGGGTCGCTGGTTAATCAACCACAAACACTGTCGCAAACATACAATTACAAGCCCATTGTTTGTAAATTGTCGATGAAAAATCAGCCAACATTCACATTTCCAATGGTATGCGTATAGACAACGTCTGCAGTATATTTTTTCGCAAATACGGTCAAAATTATCAATAATACGTCTCGCTGCTGGCGTTATCTATATAAAAATAAATTAGATAATTCATAAGATCTATTCAAAATCCCTTACTGTAACTGATTTTTAATTATAAATGAGTATTATTCTTGTTTGTTTTCTTTTTATACATATCTGTGCAATGAAGTACATTAATTTGTACATCCATTCTAATGTCTCCCATCTGATGCTTTATGCTTTCGATAGACATTATAAGTACATCGAATTAACGGGCCGTCAAAAATTAGATAGACCTAAGATTAATTGCACTTTCTCCCCGAACGCTTCGGATATGGCAAACTTGGGTATTTCACTATGAATTTCCGTTCAATGGACTTTAAGTTTCATGTTATAACGTTTAATGTTCACGCTGTAAACGATTTTGAACTTTACCAACTCTGTGGAGATGCTAATACCGCTACCGTTCTCATCAAGCACGTCCACTACGTACAGGTGCTGAGCATCTCGTCGAACCGGTCGAATTTGAGACGGCTATTTTTGCAAGAAGAAATCCTTAAAACTGTGCACGACGCAAGACGAATAGACGGGCCATTTCTGGTTTTAAAACTGACATATTATATATGAATATAATAGAAAGTTGCATTCATGTGTTACGTTAGATTTAATGCCATTAATACGTAACATTTACAAATAATTGTAACGTTATCTAGAAAGTATTCTGAAATGAGACTAATCCGGTCGACGTCTAATGAAACGTATTTCCTTTTTTTTAAACTCTTATGACTCCTCAATAGTTTATATTAATCGCCTAACGCTATACTGTCTAAGGATATCGCGATAATTGTTCCAGTTTACCTACGGGTTATGTTAAGGTAAATTGTCACAATTTCGCCGTTTCGAATTCAACGGCTTCTAAGCGGTCTGGCCTTCCCACCCTACATCGCATCCGTGCATCTCATTTGGCGTGCCGAGTGACAGATAATGCCGTCTTTGTCTATCGCGGGTACCGTTAAAAACCGCTAAGCCCACCGGCGTTTGCGAGAACTGGCTGGGTTCGAGCATTCATATTAAGTTTCCAGTAAAAGTGCCTTTCTGTTCCATAAATTCCTTGTCCACTGTATAATTATATTTTGTTCAAATACGTACTCTTTAAAATTGATTTAAAGTAACATCTTAATGTATTTCCATCGACTCACGTGAAGTTAATTATCTGTAAAATTAACTTCGGATTATCTAATAAAGTTAGTTTACAGTTTTGATTGTGCTCGGTTCGCCCGCTTCTTAATTAAGAAATGGACGACTGGTTTGAATATACAGTTAGGAAAACTTGTATTCTACGAGATACATGTATTTCAGTCTAACGTATGAACTATCATCATCATCATCATTTCAGCCTGTTTGAGTCCACTGCTGAACATAGGCCTCCCCCATAGACTGCCACGAAGTACGATCCAGAGCCACCTGCAGTCATCGACTTCCCGCACATTTGCACAGGTCGTCACTCCATCTAGTGGGGGTGTAAACCTACACTGCGATGGCCAGTACGAGGCTACCACTCGAGAACCTTTCTTTCCCAACGGTTATCGGTTCTACGAGCCATATGGCAGGCACATCGCCACTTCAGCTTATATATACATTATAATTATATATACATTATAATTATAATATATTTCATTCAAAACCATGCAGCCCTCGCGGTTAAGACTTTCAAACATAATCATATTTATAAAATCATTGAGACAAACTGTTACCAACAACTAACTGGCATTGTCATTATTATAGCTTTTACTGTGACCACATACTGTCGATTACCTATTGGCAATTTTACTGCTAATAATAGGCACTTTCACTTATTCATTGCTGTGACTAAATAAAGTTAGAAATTGTTGTTACTTTGCTATTCTCATTTTATACATTGCTTGTCTGATGTATTCATTTAACCAGACCGTAAAAATGCGAACCGTTATTGTTTTTTTAACCATTATTGTACCAAACGGTGAAATGAAACAATGCAAA